AAAAAAAAAAAAAAAACAAAAAAATTAGCCAGGCATGGTGGCACACCTGTGGTCTCAGCTACTAGGGAGGCTGAGGCAGGAAAATGGCTTGAGCAAAGGAGTTTGAGGTTGCAGTGAGCTATTATGACACCACTGCACTCTATCTAGTCTGGGTGACAGAGCGAGACTGTGTCTCAAAAAATTACTTTTACTGTGTAGTTGACTTGGGTTTTACAACAGTTTACAGCTCTATTTTAAGGAATGGAAGAGCAAATGAGAAAGCTCTCAAAGGAGAGATTTGATACAGTTACATAACTCTAAAACACTGAAGGATTCCCATTAAACATTTAAAGGGTATGCTTTTAATTAGTAATAAAAAGGGATATGACCATACCCTAAGGGGCAAAGGTTTTGTATGCTTGTTTTTTTCTGGACTGGTATTGATGCTTCACCTTCAACTTTCTATTATGAAAAATTTCAAATATATAGGAAAGTTTTAAGAACAGTATGAACATTGTATACCCTCCACCTAGATTTAATTATTGACATTTTGCCATAGTCGGTTCTGTAACACGTGTTTTGTGTGTTCTTAGAGTGACTCAGCTGAGTGCATTCTGTTCACCTGTTTATTCTGAGGAAGTCACATAAGTACGTAAAAGCCACCACAGTATGCAAAATTGCATGATAGAAACCACAGGACTTGGGGGGAAGCATGGGTTAGGAGCACAGCACAAAAACTTAAGCAACAAAAAAGAAACCTAATGAAAACAATAACAGTTTTACACATTAATTGATTAAATAAAATGATTATATAACATACAGCACCTTACCTTGAAAAAAAACCATAAAGCTTGCTTGTGGAAATGTTAGGAGGGTTGCACCTAATGTTACTGTGAAGTGGTAGGAGGGTTAGCTGAAACATGACAAGGTAACACCATGTGTGGATGGGTGTGGCTCATAACGATGGATCAATGTATCTACATGTTTTGAGTTGTATATGTTTTGTGTGTGCTTAGTGTGATTCAGCTGAGTGCATTCTGTTCACCTGTTTATTCTGAGGAAATCACATAAGCAAATGTGAAGTTAGCATTTTGCTCAAATAGTTCACTAATAAGCTGCTTTGGAACAAATTCATGTTTTCAAAACAAGCATTGTAGCTTAACTAATTCACTTTTGAATCATTTGAAAGTAAGTTGTAGACTTAAACTTTGTAAGTATTCAAATAAGGACATTTTCACTTAAAAGCAGTTTTGTAATGTCTAATACCCAATTTTTTTTTTTTTTTTTTTTTTTGAGACAGAGTCTTGCTCTGTTGCCCAGGCTAGAGTGCAGTGGCATGATCATAGCTCTCTGCAACCTCAAACTCCAGGGCTCAAGCCATCCTCCTGCTTCAGTCTCCCAAGGAGCTGGGAATATAGGCGCATACCACCATGCCCAGCTAATTTTTCTATTTTTTTGTAGAGACGGGGTCTCGCTCTTGTTCAGGCTGGTCGCGACCTCCTGATCATCCCGCCCCGGGTCCCAGAGTGCTAGAATTACAGGTGTGAGCCACCTCGCCTGGCCCTGTATTCAGGCTTTTCTAACTGTCCCCAGAATGTCTTTCTTGTGTTTTAAACCAAGATCCATTTGGTGTTTACACATTGCATTTAGTTGTTGTGTCTTACCAGTCTCTCATTTACACTCAAGAACTTCAACTTTTTTTTTTTTTTAAAGAATCCAAGCCTATTGTCTATCTCTCATCTGGATTTCATCTTACGTAACTTGTTCCTCTGTTTCCCATAAAATCAAAAATTAGCTCTAAAGAGGTTATAGACTTTTGGCAAGAATATTTCATAGGAGATGATGTATGTGTTGTAGTACACCTGCCTTAAGGTGCTCCAGAGAAACAGGCAGTAGGATATAGAGAAATATCTCTGGAAAGATTTATTGAGTTGCAGGTCATACAATTATAGAGACCAAGAAGTCCCATAATCTGCCATGTGCAAACTGGAGACTTAGGAAAGTTGGTGTAGTTCAAAGGCCTGAAAGCCAGAGAGCTGATGGTGTAGATTCTAGTCAGGTCGGAAGGCCTGAGAATTAGGAGTTCAGAGGGTAGGTCTAGTGTCCCAGTTCAGCAGAGAATGAATTCAGCTTTCCCCTGCTTGCTTTTCTTAAGGCTCTCAGCAGATTGGAGGATGCCCACCAACATGGAGGCGGCGGGGGGGCTATTCTCTTTGCTTTACTCAGTCCACCAATTCAAATGTTAAGCTCTTCCAGAAACCCTCAGACACTCCCTCCCCCACCAATTTTTTTTGAAACAAGGTCCCTGTTGCCTAGGCTGAAGTGCAGTGATGTGATCCTATCTCATTGAGACCTTGAACTCCAGGGCTCAAGTGATCATTGTGCCTCAGCCTCCCGAGTAGCTGGGGCTACAGGTGCACACCACCGTGCCCAGCTAACTATTTTTCATAGAGACCAGGTCTCACCATGTTGTCCAGACTTAAATGCCTGGGCTCAAGCAATCCTCCTACCTTGGCCTCCCAAAGTGCTGGGATTATAGGTGTGAGCTACTGCATCTGGTTAAGTTGGACATTTAAACTTACGAAACTAAGGTGGAAAATGTTAATAATGCAGAGTAAGCTTTAAAATGTCTGTAGCCTTTACATTGTGAATAGCAGAAAAAATTAAGGAAAATTCTTCCAGTATTAGAAAAATATCTATTAATATTTAAGCAAAGAAGTTGCTCACAACATTGAAATTCTGACACCTTGGATGTTTCATTTAATCATAAATATCAACCAGCAATCATGTTGGAACTACATTATTTAATTGCAACCATAAGTTGGCAACAAAAACCAATACAAGTATTCTGGGAGAATCAATCCTGTAAGAGGAATTTATAGGAAAGAGTATTCCATTATTTATAAGTGGTGCTATAATCCTTTATATCTGTAAATCTTAGAGGCTTAATCTCTCTCTCACACACACTCTACCTCAGAGAGCCAGTGGTTGACCACTTACCAGCACACCACTGGCTGACAGCCTCCAGCCACAGCACCTTTAGGATCCTCCACAGTGTTCCATCTGAGAACACGCTCTTCCCATGAACACTAGCCAGTGACTGAGATGGCAGGGCCAGTACGATCTGGCCATTTCTGCTCATTACAGAACTCATCTAGAACAATCTTTGTGCTGGAGCTCTCTTGAGCTGGCTGAGACTTTTTCAGAGCTGCACTATAGTTTGAACCTCCTCTACCCAATTTTCCTTCCCCCCGTTTTGTAAGGTGTCCAACTGTATCTTGGCCTGAGGCCTTTCCTACTTTTCTGTCTTTATCTTTCACCAGAATTTCCCCCAATAAATCTCTTGCACTTTTTTTTTTGAGACAGAGTCTCACTATGTTGCCCGGGCTAGAGTGCCGTGGCGTCATCCTAGCTCAGCAACCTCAAACTCCTGGGCTCAAGCGATCCTTCTGCCTCAGCCTCCCGAGTAGCTGGGACTACAGGCATGCGCCACCATGCCCGGCTAATTTTTTCTACATATTTTTAGTTGTCCGATTAATTTCTTTCTATTTTTAGTAGAGACGGGGTCTCGCTCTTGCTCAGGCTGGTTTCGAACTCCTGAGCTCAAACAATCCGCCCGCCTCGGCCTCCCAGGGAGCTAGGATTACAGGGGTGAGCCACCGCACCTGTCCTCTCTTGCACTTTTAACTCCTTCTTGGTGTTAGTTTCCTGGAGGACCCAAACTGACAGCCAAAAAAAAAAAAGGACAACCCAAATCCAAACGTCCATCAGCAGATGAATAAATAAACAAATTTAAGGAAGTAATGGAGATAATGTTAATAGTACAGATTTACAGATTAAATTTAAAGTACACCTTGTCTGTAACCATTACATCATGAATAGCACAAGAAATTGAGGAAAATTCTTCCAATATTGGGAAACTAGTATGTTTCTGCAGAGAATACTATTCAGGAATTGAAGAGACCACGAATATGCAACAACATGGATGAATCTCAAAAAAACAAAAACCCAGTATGCTGAGCAAAAGAAGCAGAGAGCAAAAAGAGCACACATTGTAGTATTCCATTTATATGAAGTTCTAGAATAGTCTAGGAGATAGAATGGAGAATAGACTGGGATGGGCCACAAGGGATCTTTGTGGGGTGGGATGATGGAAATGTTTTATATCTTAATAGGGGTATGATTTTATGGGTGTTAACATTTGTCAGAATTCATCTAACTATACATTTAACAAATATTGTATATATGATACATTGCAATACAATACAAAAGTGCAAAAACAGTTCTTATGATGTAAGATGTCACTTTCTTGTAGATCTATTTCTGCTCTGTATACTTTGAGGCTATGTTATTAGATGGCTGCAAATTTAGACTATTGCTGATCAACTGAAACTTTAACACTTTTAACCATGGACACACATGTCCTCCACATGCATTTTATTATTTTAATCTTCCATTAGCAGTGCTTTATAGCATGTGGACCTGGCTTGCTGTTTTGGGGTCAGGCTTATACCAAATACCAAGAGAGGCACGTGCAGCCACAGAAAGAGTTGCATGTGACTGACTGAAGTTGCTACCCTCGTCACTTGTCCGTACACACCTCATGGGCTTCCAGCTCTGGCTTCTGCTCAGAACCCAGCCAGCACTTGTTTCAGCGTGCCAAGCAGATGCTCAGACAAAACGAAGAGCAGCCTGAAGCAGGTGGGGAGTGGAGGATTTTGCAGGTCCTCATACTCCAGACAGGCGAAGAAGGAAGGTTTGGTAAGAAGGGCTCAGATCTAAGCTCTTAGCTCTAAGCTAAGAGTCGATTCTAGACGACGCGCGCCACATAGGAGGAAAATACTGTAACTTTATGGCAGTGATGGCCGGTTGTAGGGCCCGGGCCGGGAGGAGGCTAAAAGGGAGCGTCAGCCTTGGCCTCAGGAAGTAGGGGCTTAGGTAGCGGATGCCTGAGACTGCACCACGCCCGCTATTTTGCGGCTCGACCTCTCCTACCTACAGCCACGTGGTGCAGAAAGCAGGAGCCATTTGAAGCACCCAAATCCCAGGTAGGAAGAGATGATGGGGGTGAGGTGAAGATGGCTGTGTCTGTGGTCACTTTTGGGCACTCCCACGCAGATGAACCCAAAGCAAACGCGAGGCTCCCACTAACTGCGTTGTCACTCGCTAGTGGGAGGGCCAGGCCCCACACAACTCTGGGCTTTTATTGGTCAGGTCAAGAAAACCGCGAGAGGGACAACTAGCAGTCTCCTTCTGATTGGTCGATTCCTGCTAGCTCTGAAGTCAATCAGAGTAGAATGTACCACTCTCCTTCCTATTCCCGGGCTCCCAGGGGAGCCATGTTAGGTAGCCGGAGGCAAACCGTACACAATTCTGAGACTGCCATACTGCACCCCGTACTTTCCTCCGTCTCCTCCTAACATGTTACTTCAGTTAATAAAAATGTGCTCTTCACAAAACGAGTTATCTCATTAATATAATGTAAGAAGTTTGAGTTCAGGCCGCTAGACGCAAAGAATAGGTGCCCCGTTCAGCCTGCCAACCTTCTAAACCAGCGAACACTGAATACCGACTCCCACTATCTAGTAAGCGCCCGACTCTCTTGCAGCGTGCGAGGATTTTGTGTGCGTTTTGGTCCCACGCGGCCTCTGTAGCGTCCCTAGTTACCGCGCCCCTAGTAACCACCCATCCCAAGCAAGGAGCCGCCAGGTCGCCAGAGGCCGCGCCGGCTTACCCGCCCCGGGCCAGCGCGGGCGCTCAGGCCTCGGAGGCGGGGTAATGGCCGCTTCCGACCCAACGGCGAGGCTCACGGCCTCCAGTCTCCAAACCCTGGTCAATCCCAACACTGGAGCGCGGGTAGCCCAGTACGAACGCGAAGACCCCTTACAGGCCCTGGCGACGGCGGCGGCGATCTTGGACGAGGATGAGGAGGCGAATAGGGTGCAGCCCGCGGGGACGTCGGTAATGCCGGGGCGGGACGTGGGCTGGGACCTGGCGCGGGCTGGGAGCAGGCTGGGGAACGTGGTGCCCTGTGCAGATACTCCCCACTGGGTGATCGTGGCCTACCACCTTCTCTCTGCCCCCACGGGAAATACTCAAGGTGTTGAAAAGTATTTTAATTTCCACCAAAGAGATTTTTGTAAAAATTTCTTGCACAGCATTTATATTACTCTATTTCTAGAGAGTGCAAAGTGTAGAATTTTGCTCCCTACTCTTCAGCATCTGTTGGGAATGGATATTTCCTTTTATTTATTTATTTATTTTACTTGAGAAAAACCGATCTGCCCCACAGTGGATAACCCATGAAAATTCAGGTGAATCAGCTGTGCTGTCAGATTTGTTATCTCCTTAAGGTCTTTGTTACAAGCAGATCTCAACACAATACCGTACAGGTGGGTGTTTAAAACCATCAAGAGTTCAGTGGCTAGATCGGACACAGGTGTATATAGATAAGCATCCAGAGAAGCAAATTAGTGAAGTTTCAATGTTTTTTAAACAGCTCTACAGAGTGGAGTGACACAGCCTTTTCACTGATCAATTTTCAGTGTCAAATGTGTTGTGGACACCTGTCCACCAGGTGGAGGGCAGAGTCTACCATCTCTATTTACTTGAAAGATGGCAACCTTGATTTGAAACTAGCAATCTGCAGACATAAACCTCCTTATCTCCAGTTAAACTTTCTTAATACCATATGTCCAAAGCTTTTCAGATACAAAACATTATGGTTTAGGGCTAATTGAAATCACTGGATATTTTGGAATTCTAATCTCTTTAATCTACACTAAAATTATTAGTGAGAAAATTTGTAGCAACACCTTTTATGGCCAATATTTCACCAACAGACAAATGACTTAATGTTATCCAGAGTAAGGCAGATGGAGACAATGAACATCAACCAGAGTCAGAGTCCTAGGGCCAGTTTTGTTCATGATAAAGCTACTCCTCAACACAATTTGCAGTAGGCAACAAAAGATGCAAAGTGATGGAGGAAAAGGATTTGGAGTCCTGTATTGGATCCATTCTCTGCCAGTTGCTAGGTGATGTTAGGATGTAACTTCCTTATATCTCAGTTTCCTTACTTGTAAAGGAACTATAATAATTTTCTTTCTTTCCCATCTTACCTGGCTGTTATGGGAACCAAATGAGAGACTGTGTGTCTCAACTAAAGAGCAATTTATATAAATTAGTAATAATTATAAAAACTGCTAGTGGGACTGTCATTTGAGCTACTTCCCCAAAGATTAAATTCCACTGTGGCTTGCTTTGGTAGAAGAGTCAGTCATTTCTATAATTGGAGTTATATTAATATTTCCAGAGTGCCTGTTAAATTGCAAATTTGTATTAGAAACTGTTATTATCTTCAGGGAGATCAGTTTATACAATGAGCTAATTTCAGATGGACAGGATCCTACAAAAAACACAAGGAAGCTAAGTGTTATGGGTTTGAGAGTGTTCTGAGACCAACACACAGGAAGAATCCAAAAGGAAACCCTGAGTAAGCTGCCATCATAGGCCTGGTAGCAGGAGGGCACTGGGTCTGGGGAAGAAGCACTGAAAAGGCAGGAAAGAGTATGCAGGAGCCAGAGTTTGCTTTCTTCACAGGTTGGCTTGGGTTTCCAACTTGATTTTTAAAGGTTATTTTGTCTCAACTTTATCATCTGTAAAATGTTGTAAACTCCAATACCGCACCCACCACACAAGACTGATTAGAGAACCAACTATCACAATAGGCCTCTTTCAGTCCTTAGTTTTGGCAAAACCAGACCACCCATCCCACCCCATGTCTGTACCATCCCACACACACCTTCCCTGCCCTCCAGCACACACACACCCCTTGCAGGATTCTCTGCCCATACTGGGCACTGATACATGTTCCTTGAGTCCAGCCTTAGTTGGAGATATCACTTCACAGAACTTGTTATGTGGCTGATGATGACATGGGTAAAACAATATTCTATAATTCATAGTTTAAAATTTTCACTGAATATCCTAATGGGGCAACCTTCTCTTTTTCAACAAATATTGAACATTTATTAAGTGCTGGTCACTGACTATTCAGTGGTGAATGAAACAGACATAGCTCACACCCTCATAGAGCTTCCAGGCTGGTGAGGGAAGAGAGACAAAAACTAAACAGTCAAATGACTGTACAATGGGAAATATTGGGAAAGAAATGAACAGGCTACTATGATTAAAGAAAGGAATGGGAAGGAACCTACTTTAATGAGTTGTTAACATTTAGGTCCATGGATGAGAAAGAACAGCCATTTGAAAAGTGGGAATGGGAAGAGCATTCCAGGCAGAGGAAACAACATATGCAGAGGCCCAAAGGCATGAAGCTCTTCAAGTGATCAAGGATCTGAAGGAAAGCCAGCAGAACTGGAAAGGAGAGAGGGAGAGTGGGAGGAGATGAGATTAGGGAGGTGAGCAGGGCCTGACCATTCAGGGCCTTGTAGACCAAGGTAAGGAGTTTAGATTTTATTGCCTGTATAGTGTGAAGTCCTTGAAGGCTTTTAAGAGATATGATACGTTCGTATTTACATTTTTAAAAAGATCACTGTGATGGGTTTATGGAGAATGATTGGAAGGTTTAACAAAGCAGAAGTTAGGAGACTGGTTAGGAGGCTGTTGCAGTAATTCAGGTTCAGAGGCAATGGATTTAAGAGTCCAAGGGTGATGGCAAGAAGCAGACATTTCTCTAGAATGGATAGGACTTACTGTTGGATTGGATGTGAGGGCCAAAGAAGAAGAGGAAGAAAGCAGGGATGCTTGTTCCCAGGTTTCCAAGTGGAACAGCTACATAGAAGGTAATGCCATTTACTGAACTGGGTACAACTAGGGGAGGAATAGGTTTGAGGGGTGGGCAGGAATTAAGGTTTCAGTTTGAACATGGTAAACTTAAGATGCCTGTGAAACCCCCAAGTGGAAATGTCTAGGAAGATGTTGAGCCTATGAAACTGGAGTCCTCTGGGGTCCGGGCTGGAGCATTTCTAAAACAGCAGGAATGGATGAGATCACCTAGGAAGTGAGTACAAAGAAAGGAGAAGGGGCCTAGTACAGAGCTCCTAAGAACTTCAACATTCAACAGTCAGGTTCAATATCAGGAGAAAAGGGGACAAGAGATGAACGAGCAGCTACTGTGGTAGGAGGAATATCACAAGAATGTAGAGAGGTCTCACATTGATTGTTTTTAACGATGAAGGAAAGAGGGGACATTTCATCCCTAAAATGGGAGAAAAGGGGAAAAAGGAATGGTTACATAGATAGGAAGATGAGGGAACTTCCCTCTGATGGCTTCTGTTTTCTCAAAGAAATAAAAGAGTTATCAGTGGGTAGTTGGGAGGGTGCAGGTGGGAGCTGTTACAGGAGCAAGGGAAGGTAGCAGCAGAGCGGGGGAGTGGGAGAGCCCTCCTCCAGAAGGAACACGGAGGAGCCGGGCAGGCCAAGTGTCTGTTAGACATTGTTCAGTGTTTCATTTAATATTAATATTCACAAAACATTCTTTTCTTTTTTAAAAAAGTTACATTTCAATTATGACAATAATACATGAACACATTCTCCTTTTAAAATATCAAATGTTACATATGAGGCATAGGCCCTTCTAACACCTCTCCCCTAAAAAAAGAAAATCTGGGTACCCACTCTCTCCCCATTGGTAGCCACTGTTTTGAAATTGATGTGTATTCTATTCTTCTGGGCTTTTTTCTGTCTCCTACATATATAATATTCACAAAACATTCTTTTCTTTTTTAAAAAAGTTACATTTCAATTATGACAATAATACATGAACACATTCTCCTTTTAAAATATCAAATG